CTTATTTATAGGCAATTAAAATTAACTATCAGTTCTCAGCCAAGTCTAAATTAACAGGACAATGGTTTAAATACTACAGCCATTCATTGATTTCAGTCAATCACATACCAATACTTGTACTATGTATCTATAAAATCAATGATGCAGCTCATCCTATTGCATTTCGCGTATCCATCTCTAGTTGCTCGCTCATTAGATGTGTCTCTTTTTTGAAAAAATCATCGATGTATACGCATTGTGATTGGAAGGGAGATTATCTTTAGAATTGATTAGTGGAGCATGCAGACTGCATAAGAGTGCAATGGCCGATCTATTTTGGGGAACAGGTGTGTATAGTCGAGAGGTTAAGCATTCTCTGGACGTGTATGGAATTGGTTTCGGGAAATGGGGAAATTAATGGGTGAACAGATGAGTATTGTGGTTTGGAAGTTTGGGAAAATTATGTGGGTTATGATTGGACTTTTTTACGCCTAGGTTTAGTACGACATTTATCTGGAATGTGGGAAGACATTTGGGTATTATTACAAAAACTTGAACGTACGTGAACACTTGTTTACATTGACATTTAGTATAGAAATGTCATTTTAAACTAATGTTAAACTGGCGTTGAATTTTTTGTAATAACAGTATTCGTCGTTGTTGTCGTCGTTGTAAAGCCGTCCACTGCTCACAAAATCCTCCCCCAAGGATTTCCACAAAGACCGGTCCTGCGCCGTGGACCATCCATCTGATGAATAACAGTTTTCAATTTGAAATAATTTACCTTTAAAAGTTCGGTTGTGTCAAAATAATTAAAAAGAATTTAATAGGTCAAACTATTGGTGCCAATAAAACAAACGACAGCCTGGTGATTCGCACACCAATACAAAGCCAGATGTGGCAGATTGAGATTGTGGCGGTGGAGATTTGAAGTTTCGCTGACATTTACAGAAACATCCTCCCGTGCCACTCCCATTGGCGTTATAGACCTGTATATCATCGTCATCATCATAATCATCTTCTCAGCCATAGGACGTCCACTGCTGAACACAGACCTCCCCCAATGCTTTCCATGTTGCCCAGTCGGTAGAGGCCTGCGTCCAGCGCCTTCCTGCTACCTGTTTTATCACCTCATCACCATCGTCAAGTCATTTAGACTCCATTGCAGTAGCTTAACCTCTCTAATTTACCACCAGCAAATAGATGATTTGGCCTACATTCCCCAAGCTAGTTAGTGGCTTGATTAAGGGGACATTATCATATAAGAAAAACAAAGAATTAATACGGCTCAGAATGGCACAGGCTCGGCTGAAATATTTCTGTTTTCCTAAAATGTACAATTCTCAAAAAGTCTACGTACTCATCATGTTTACATTCCTATTTTGTCAGCTTTATCGAAATGTCTTCAATTTAAAAAGTGTGCAGTCTTAGAAGGTCTTCTATTCATAATGTTTACATTTCTATATTTCCTTCAATCTGAAAAGCGATTTTACAAATTCTGTAATTCTTGGAGACAGAATTTTTTAAATAGTTAACATTTTGAGAAGCTGACATTATGCAAAAGACGTGCTCACATGCTGAATAGTAGACGTTTTGCGAAAATACATTTTAGGAAAAGGGATATTTCAAGCCTCCTAATATTATAAATAGGAAAGATTGGTATTTTGATGCTTCAAAACTAGGTACTGAAAAGAATTTGAATTTAAATAAAACATCAATCAATCTTTCCGCAACAAAATATAGCAAAAAAATAGTATGAGTATACGTTCTAGTATGATTTGTGAAAAACGTAGGTAATAATCATAATGTTTTTATAGCCCAGTAAGTACTTCATAGAGCAATAAATTTCGCCTTGAATGAACCATGATTCAGTTCAGTTTTCAAATATTAATGGACTGGTCCAAAGAGATTCGTATGAATAATATAGGCACGTACCTACTGTACGTACTGAATAAAATATACTCCCAATAATAACTTACTGATAAATAAATTTATAGGCTTAAAAATAACTAAAAATAATATGAATTGGATCTATTCAATTCGCGATATCCTACCACATACAATTCGTTTATGGAAATGCCACAATCGGTTCTCCATACCAATTTAATACAAAATATAAACAATCTGAGGAATTTGTCAAAAAGGGTGGCATTGGATTAGCTACTCTGTGATATACGGCGATTACAGGATAACTAATAAATACTTACTTGAAAAAATAACAGACTAGCAACATAATTTTAAAACTATTTCCTATAATTAATTATGTACTTGCGATTTCAGCTTCAGCTAGGTAGATACATACTGTATTCAAAGACCTGAAAAGAATATAATCTTTTGTAAAACAACTTAAAAAAAAATGAAATTACTAATTTTATGATACCTACTTAAAAATAATAAAACATTCTTATCACACCAAAAATAATAATTACATTTTTGTATGCACGTAAAAAACATGGTTTCAGGAAAATCATTTTCAATGGATTATAAAATAACGATTTTGCAATGATGAATGCGCTTTACATTGAAAGTTAATTTCGCCGAAAGTAAGTAGGTCAAGTTCATATTATTATCGAGATTTAGATCAAAAAGACTCCATGTATATACCTAATTTAAAAAAGACATAGACTAATGTCTTTTTTTTAAATTAGGTACATCTTGATACCAACAGTTAACTCGCCTATATTTGTTTAGCTATAATGTATATTTCTATTATGATACTATTAAATAGTAAATACATCAAAAAGATCTTTTTGTTGTTGATGAAAACAATCACAATGTTGCCTAATTACAAGTTAACACTAACTAAATTTAATAAATTCGTTAGTTAAATTAAATCGGCGCCCGCCCATCGCCCGAAAAGGCTCAAGGCGGGCGGCGAGCTTTCGCGCTTATTACAGCCCACGATCTCTAATTCAATGCAAAATTTCGATCGATAACTACACCTAGACATGTCGAATATTATCACCAACCACTTACNTCATATAAGAAAAACAAAAAATTAATACGGCTCAGAATGGCACAGGCTCGGCTGAAATAATTCTGTTTTCCTAAAATGTACAATTCTCAAAAAGTCTACGTACTCATCATGTTTACATTCTTATTTTGTCAGCTTTATCGAAATGTCTTCAATTTAAAAAGTGTGCAGTCTTAGAAGGTCTTCGATTCATAATGTTTACATTTCAATATTTTCTTTAATCTGAAAAGCGATTTTACAAAATCTGTAATTCTTGGAGACAGAAATTTTTAAAGTTAACCTTTTGAGAAGCTGACATTGTGCAAAAGACGTGCTCACATTCTGAATAGCAGACATTCTGCGAAAAATACATTTTAGGAAAATCGATATTTCAGGCCTGAGCCATCTATACCTCCTAATATTATAAATAGGAAAGATTGGTATCTTTGTATGCTTCAAAACTAGGTACTGAAAAGAATTTGAATTGACATAAAACATCAATCAATCTTTCCACAACAAAATATAAAAATACGTTCTAGTATGATTTGTGAAAAACGTAGGTAATCATAATGTTTTTATAGCCTAGTAAGTACTTCATAGAGCAATAAATTTCGCCTTGAATGAACCATGATTCAGTTCAGTTTCCAAATATTAATGGACTGGTCCAAATTGATTGGATGAATAATCAGTATACGTACCTGCTGTACACGTCCTACTAATATTATAAATGCGAAAGTTTGGATGTCATGTCTGGAATGTCTGGATGGCTGGATGTCTGGATGTTTGTTACTCTTTCACGCAAAAACTACTGAACGGATTTTGATGAAACTTTACAGTATTATTGTTTACCCAGAATAACATATAGGCTATAATTTATGACGATCGAACAAATGAAATTTCACGCGGGTGAAGCCACGGGCAAAAGCTAGTACTGAGTAAAATATAATTTCATTAATGACTTACTGACAATAAATAGGTTTAAAGATAATAATTAAGATGACCTTTGCTCTATAAGTTCAATTCGCAGCATCATAACACATACAATATTCGTTTATGGAATAGCCACAATCGGTTCTCCATACCAAATAAATACAACTGAAGAATTTTATAATAAAAAGGCTGGCATTGGATTCGCTACTCTGTGATTAAAGAATAACCACTAAATACTTACCTGAAAAAATACCAAATTGCAATCTATAATTTTAAAACTATTTCCCATAATTATGTAGTTGCGATTTCAGCTTCAGCTAGGTAGTTACATACTGTAATCAAAGACCTGAAAAGAATATAATCTTTTTGTAAAACAACTTTAAAGGAAATTAAATTACCAATTTTATGGTACCTACTTAAAAATAATAAAACATTCTTATCACACCAAATATAACAATTACTTTTTGTATGCACATAAAAAAGCCATTGAAAATGATTTTCCTAACTGGTTTCAGGAAAAACATTTTTACTGAATTACAAAATAAAGATTTTGTAATGATGAATGAGCTTTATATTAAAAGTTTATTTCGCTGAAAATAAGTAGGTCAAGTTCAACCTAATAAAATATTATTACGATTTAAGTCAAAAACACTCCATAATTATGTCTTTTTTTAAATTAGGTACATCTTGATACCAAATATTAACTCGCCTATATTTGTTTAGCTGTTGAATATTTCTATTATGAAACTATTATAGAAAATGTATCGAAAAGATCAATTTGTTGTTAAAAAGAAGAAAACAATTACAATGTAGCCTAATTACAAGTTAACACTAACTAAATTTAATAAATTCGTTAGTTAAATTAAATCGGCGCCCGCCCATCGCCCGAAAAGGCTCAAGGCGGGCGGCGAGCTTTCGCGCTTATTACAGCCCACGATCTCTAATTCAATGCAAAATTTCGATCGATAACTACACCTAGACATGTCGTATATTATCACCGACCACTTACTGGAGGTAAGTGTCAATTATTCACAGGAATGTCTAAGAAAAAAGCAAAGAAACAACGGTTCGCGGGGGCCGGCGCGCTCGCCATGTAAGGCGCGCCCGCCTGCGCCCGCGGCCCTATATAACACACCGCCGCCCCATTCCGCCGCACTCGCAGTCTCGCTGCCGTAGAGTCAACTCCCAGCGCGTCCCTACACCACACAAAACACAAAGATGTGCGACGACGATGTTGCTGCGCTCGTAGTCGACAATGGCTCCGGCATGTGCAAGGCCGGTTTCGCCGGCGACGACGCGCCCCGCGCCGTCTTCCCATCCATCGTCGGTCGCCCACGTCACCAGGGCGTCATGGTCGGTATGGGCCAGAAAGACTCCTACGTAGGCGATGAGGCCCAGAGCAAGAGAGGTATCCTCACCCTGAAGTACCCCATCGAGCACGGCATCATCACCAACTGGGACGACATGGAGAAGATCTGGCACCACACCTTCTACAACGAGCTGCGCGTCGCCCCCGAGGAGCACCCCGTCCTCCTGACCGAGGCTCCCCTGAACCCCAAGGCCAACAGGGAAAAGATGACCCAGATCATGTTTGAGACCTTCAACTCCCCGGCTATGTACGTCGCCATCCAGGCTGTGCTCTCCCTGTACGCCTCTGGTCGTACCACCGGTATCGTGCTGGACTCCGGAGATGGTGTCTCCCACACCGTCCCCATCTACGAAGGTTACGCTCTGCCCCACGCCATCCTCCGTCTGGACTTGGCTGGCCGCGACTTGACCGACTACCTCATGAAGATCCTCACCGAGAGGGGTTACTCTTTCACCACCACCGCTGAGAGGGAAATCGTGCGTGACATCAAGGAGAAGCTGTGCTATGTCGCTCTCGACTTCGAGCAGGAGATGGCCACCGCCGCCGCCTCCACCTCCCTCGAGAAGTCCTACGAGCTTCCCGACGGTCAGGTCATCACCATCGGTAACGAGAGGTTCCGTTGCCCCGAAGCCCTGTTCCAGCCTTCCTTCCTGGGTATGGAATCGTGCGGCATCCACGAGACCGTGTACAACTCCATCATGAAGTGCGACGTTGACATCCGTAAGGACCTGTACGCCAACACTGTCATGTCCGGTGGTACCACCATGTACCCCGGTATCGCCGACAGGATGCAGAAGGAGATCACCGCCCTAGCTCCCTCCACCATCAAGATCAAGATCATCGCTCCCCCCGAGAGGAAGTACTCCGTATGGATCGGAGGATCCATCCTGGCCTCCCTGTCCACCTTCCAGCAGATGTGGATCTCCAAGGAGGAGTACGACGAGTCCGGCCCCGGCATCGTCCACCGCAAGTGCTTCTAAGCGCCTTGACCCTAGTGCTGTGTGTTGTGGTGTTCTCTACTCGAGTAACGGAGTGCGAGCATTTTGTACGTTGTACGTAGTGATACCTGACAGAACTGAACATCTTAATATAACGCCATCTATTATAATTGTAATTTATTTGTAAAATTTATATAAATTTAATTTTCTTTTTTATTTTTATTATATACACGGGATCGTTATGGATCTCACGCCAATGTAATTAATAAATAAACGGTTAATTTATTTATTTTAATTACATCATTTCTTTTTTATACATTTAAGGCTTTGTTTTGATTGGAGTTCCCCGAACCTTGTTTCCTTCCTGTGTGCGAGGTGTAGGATTACAGAAGCATGTGAACCAGGGTGCACCTGTCTGGAAGTGGGTCAGACTCGCTGCCAACATTCCTGGGGTATATTGACGCTTGTGTCAATGTTTTTAGAATCAGTTGCCGCAAGTCGCATCATTCCAAAATGCTGAGCGACGCGGGCCGTAGTTACAGAATTAGAAGCAGTTACCCCACACGCTCGGAATTAGCTCCGAGGAGCATTACCATAAATAGTAAACACGCACTCGAACCCAAAAGCATTTTCTAATTTTACCAGAATACCGGCTCACAAGCCTGCCATTCCATTTTGGACCTAGTTTCACAGAAATAGGATCAAGTTTCGTGGGAGAACGGTGTGCGGGTGCCGAGTGGTGTAAAAAAAGCGATAGTTCCAGCTTTTCTATTAATATTTCAGTCTCCCGGATCGCGTGGATTCGGTTGCGGTGTGTGGGATATTGTTCGAGCGCTCCTTTTTGATTCTTGTGTCTGGGGGATAGAGTTCGTAATCTAATTTTGTCACGGTGTTCTGTTTACCGTCTGATTCGCGTATTAGAATTCTTAATGTGGGAACGGCCGTTTAGTTTTTCATGTCAACGTTCTCGTGATAATCTTGTGAACTTTGAGCGATTTTCGTCGCTCCGTCGTTGGTTTAGTTCGTCGACATTGAATAGATTGCTTTGAATGCTATTTGTTTTGGTGTAAGGTTCACTTTAATAGCTTTATTTGGTTGTAGATGTCTACATTTTGTTTTTATTTTTTATTTTCACATTAGCCTTTTTTAAATTCTCAACTTTCATTCATGCTGAGTTCCCTTATTATTGTTTTGTTTCTCATTATTTTTGCATAATCTTTGGTGACGAGTTAATAAACTTTGCCTAGAGCTCACACATGTTTCTTTGCGTAGATTTTTGAGAATCTATTTTTGTTCAACAACGTTAGCCGCGTATTTCTACAGTTCTCTTGATACATGTGTAATTATAGTGGGGGAGTGTTCTGTTGTTAGTACGAGTATAACGTATCAGTTGTTATGAAATATATTAGTGAAATCGCTGATTAGGGTACTTTTATTTTGATTCATTATTTCTCTTGTTTTGTTGTTCTTTTATTCAAGTTTGTAAAATAGAGGTTAGTTATTAACGTTAAGATCTAATTTCACCTTGTGTGTTTTTGTTTGACCGTGCTGCTCCGTTCAAAAATAAAAAAAACTAGGAATCTTTGTCAATGTAAAGATTTTCTGTAATACATTTTTTTAAAAATGACACCACAGACACACACGTGATATTTAATCGTAATAAAATAAATATTTGTTGCAGGTATAGCGTAACAGTGAGTAACGATGCGTTTTTCATTTTTTTCATTGTAACTTGTCAATTAGTCAATCGAAAAAAAAATATTAATCATCATCCAAAAAAAAATTAGGTGTTACGTGATAAATTATGATTTTAGTAATTCATTGGGAGAATTTTTTTTACAAGTCAAGTTTTGAACCAACCAAAAATTAGTAATTCGAAGATTTGATCGCCGAATAGCTGATTGTATTTACTCGTATTACCAAAGAAAAATGCTCTTTTTCCAGTTACCATAATAACTTTAACGACTTTAAATATTTTTCTTTCTGTAAAAACAGTTTCAAACTTTCTTTTAACTCGTGGAACCCTCAGTGCTCACATGAGACCGCGGTAAAAATTGATTTTCTATTGTGGGTACTTGAAGGGTTAATGTTGAATTGCATCATACGGCATCTTATCTTGCTACATACATCATAAGAGACAACAGGTGGCATGCGGGCGCAGGACACTCTCGTCTGTCAGGCCACATTATTTCTGCAATGGAATGCTTACAGTCATTATTTAATAGCATTATTCGTGTGTTAGGTCACATTATTTCTGCATTGGAATGCTTACAATAATTCTCTAATAGCATATTTATTTGTGTTTCTATTTTTAAGCTTGTAATTCATCAGAAGAGTGTCTGTATAATGAGTAAGAGAGTAGAATAGCAACGATAGTATCTAAGAAATGACTATAAATAGGCAGGTTTGATAAGCTGTTCTGAAATTACAAAATAATTACTTTAATCCAGTTCTTAGCTTAGCTAACTTTCGTAATCCAAATAGATACGTTTACTCTCTATAGCTTTTCAGAGCGCATCATAGTTTTCCACAAGATTTTATTTTTAACTAGCTGACCCGGCGAACTTCGTACCGCCTTAGCGTAGAGATTTTCTTTATATTTTTTTCCGTAAAAACCTTGTACTGAGTATTAGAAAACTAAAAAAAAAAAATCGGTCAAGCCGTTTTCATGTTATGTCGTGACAACGGAAAACGGGTTTCATTTTTATATTATAGATAGATAGACTAGCGGCTGCCCGCGACTTCGTACGCGTGGATCCCTATGCAAAATTGGAGACTCCTAGCACGGTAGTTTTGTGTCATTCAGTCAATCAGTAACCTTTCGCTTTTATAGATATAGATTATTCTATAGTTCAAATTGCTAACTTTCTAAACATTTACATACTACAGTAGGTAACGTCCAGCGGTCATTGGGATCGAACTGGCGACCCTTTAATTTAAATTCTGTCAAAGGTTTTAACTCTGTCACAGCTCCAATCTTTCACTCTACATTCATTATGCTTTCCAAACCTTAATAAAATAATTATGCCCGTTTTCACCATCAATCCCTAATTTTTAAGTGACCCCTATGGTAGCATATAACATGAATTTTGTTTACATAGGGGTCACTTAAAAATTAGGGATTGATGGTGAAAAAGGGCATTAGTCTCCCAAATGTTTCAATATCAGCAAGCATGTTTCTTCCCAACCCCAAATATAGCTGCGCTGTTATCACGGACGCTGTGCGCGCGCTACTATAAAAGTGGACGCCCGAAATACATGCGCACGCGTCGTAGTGCATTCAGCTTGCAGCCCGATTCATGAATTGGAATAAAATTAGGTGGCTATTCGTTTCAGCCAAATGACGTCCACTGCTGGACAAAGGCCTCCCCCAAGGTTTTCCACAATGAACGGTCCTGCGCTGCCCGCATCCAGGCTCTTCCCGCGACCTTTACCAGATCGTCGGTCCACCTAGTAGGAGGCCAGCCCACGCTACGTCTTCCAGCCCGTGGTCGCCACTCGAGAACTTTCCTTAGGTGGCTATACTGAACAGTTATAATTTGGCACATCTTAAAGACTATTTTGTTATGTGATAGGTAAAAGTTGTTGAACAACATTCGTATAATGTAGAAGAAATAACATGGATAAGTATAGTGACGAACAATATTATACTCATCGTTTAGCTACAGAGTCCACTGCTAAACATAGGCCTTCTAAAATGATTTCCAGATTAGCCAATTGGTAAGCGACAATATCGGTGTTGCTTGATGGGCCGTACCCATGTATGTACCTACCTACCTACGTTACAAAAACCTCAAGATAAAATAAGAGATTGAGTTATATTGCGCTCCTCGGAGAGTATTACGTACTTACGCCCAGCAGCTGGGAACAAATACACAACCTTACACTTTCTGTAAACTACCTGGGATTCGAACCATAAACTTCCCAGATGATAAACTCTAAGGGTGACAGACATGCTACTTTTAGCATCGGCGATTTCGCGACTGTATCGATTCAGTAGGTATAGCGATTTTACGACTCAATGCATTCAGACGCGGTATTGGAATTGCGCTTTTTAGCGACTCTATCGATGCAGCATCGCGTCGAATGTGTAGTCGCTGCATTCAGCTTCTAAAAAGCGGCTAATTCGCCGATTGCCGGTGCTAAAAATAGCATGTATGTTGTTGCTCTATACGTGTGCATAATCAAACAACTGCATGCAGAAAGATTTAATGAATGCTACTGACAACGCCACTTGTAGCGGAGTTTTGGGCTGACACTGGAGTTTGGGTTTGTTGTCGACACGACAAGAAGAAAAAGCGCCTTTATATCTACACCCAATTGAAATCAATTTCCTTTCTCTCTTCTTCCTCTTGGAAATACTACTTACCTACATACTTACTACTCTATCCCTAGCACAGACAGTCAAATGTAAATCATCCCTCCTGAACCCCTTCCTAACCGCATCAACCTCATTTCATTTAAAACCAAAGCGAATCGAATGACTTTAACTAAGAGTCATTAACATCGAACACTTCCAATGTTCTTTAGTACATCTGTTTGCGTCTCAAAAGAGATTCTACTTTAATCTAAATCTAGTAGAGTCTAAAATCCTTTGTGTTGGTATAATGAGTGATTTGACAAGTAGAGACGCGTGACAGTATAAGTGGGAGAGTAACTAATAATATGAATTAACTAGTCGGTCTATTGTTTGTAATGATGAGGGAGTGTAATAATTTAGGCAGAGACAAGGTGTGTCGTATAAATAAAATTAGTCTTAGCATAAGATATTAAATAAGGCCCGATGCGATCAAACTTTTCATCATCATCATCATCATCATGTCAGCCATAGGACGTCCACTGCTGAACATAGGCCTCTCCTAATGCTTTCCACGTTGATCGATTGGTAGCGGCCTGCGTCCAGCGCTTCCCTGCTACCTTTACGATGTCGTCGGTCCACCTTGTAGGTGGACGTCCCACGCTGCGCCTTCCGGTACGCGGCCTCCATTCCAGAACCTTGCTGCCCCATCGGCCGTCAGTTCTGCGCACTCTGTGGCTCTGTGCCCTGCCCATTGCCACTTCAGCTTGCTAATCCGGGCTATGTCAGCGACTTTAGTTCGTTTACGGATTTCCTCATTTCTGATTCGATCTCGCAAAGAAACACCAAGCATAGCACGCTGTGCAACTTTGAG